ATGACGTCGAGTGCGCCGCCCCCGCGTGCGGCCCCGAGGACGACGTCGGGCCGCGCTGCACGCCGGGCCCGCCTGCGCGCCACGCATGCGCGGAAGGCCCAGCAGGCCAGCCACCGTCTGGCTGGACTCTTGGCGGCAGGACCGCCACCTGGCCTGTGCTGCGACGACTTCGCCTACTTCTATGCGAACCAGCACGCCTTCGAGGAGCAATACGCCTTCGAGGAGCAGCACGCGGTCACGGAGCACTTAGCCGAATTCGGCCACTGCGAGTTCGTCGCCGACGCCGTCCCCAGCCACCTGGGCGACGGCCTCACCACCGCTCCCACACATCGAGGTCATGATGGCGCTCAGCTGTTCGCTCCGAAGGACGACATCGAGCAGCAGGCCTCTGGCGAGAAGTTCATTAACGAGGAGGCGGGAGACAACCAGGCGCCCGCCATCTCCGACGGGGAGCCTGTGGCGTCTCAGCTGCGCATCGACTCCGCTTCCCCGAAGCAGGACTCGTTCAAGGTGCCCGTTGAGGAGATGATGGTCGCCCCTCAGGAGCTGCCCCCTTCCGAGGAGCCCACCGGCGACCCCCAGCAGCCCGACGAGATTCTGAGGCAGTACCCCCCGCTGGACTTCGTGCGGGCCCTCAGACCTCTGGAGCGCGAGCCGGCCGTGAAGGAGTTCATGGCAAGGGTGCCGACCGAGAGCACCGATATGCAAGCTGACCTGCCCACCGTGGACAGCAAGGGGCTGAACGACACCGCTTGCGAGAGCCTGGTGTGCATCGACCTACAGAGGCCGATCTGGGTGGGGCCGACAAGGAGGTCATCGACTGGCGTGCCGAGACGGATGAGCCGCTGGAGCAGCCCGTCGTGGAGGCTTGGGACGTGCGCGTCGAGGACCACCCGCTTAGCGACAACAAGGAGCTGAGCGACACCACCTGCGGGATTCTCGAGCCCGCGAAAAAAAGGACGCCGTCGACCCGTGCGGCGAGACGGCCATGGGGCAAACGGTCCTCGAGTGCGATACCACCTGCGAGGGCCAGCAGTATCAATGGAGAGTATGTGGCATAAATGGCGAATGGGAGGACTTCACCTCCTGTGACAATTTCGGCGGTAATGCTGCGTTGGAGGCCAGATAACAACGGTTTCTGTCTGGTCGCAGCGACGCCAAGATTAAGATGAAGCTGAAGACGCACCTGTTCAGGGTGGACTTCCGTAACATGAGCTTGAGGGCCGTTAATAGGAACGGCCTCGGCACCCGACTGCGGCTCTGCAGAGATCTGCTGTAGTCGGTTCTGGATAACTGCTCTGTGCATCCCACTGTGTTTCTGCGAACGCTCAGTTACAGTGCAGTGCATAGAGCATGTTGATCAGGTAGAGAACCAATCTCTGGTGCTTCCCTGGTCTTTGATGGGTTGCTCACAGGCCCCCTGAGGGTCGTCGGATCTCATTCATCAGATGGCGGATGCCACCGCGCATCCCCGCCGTCGCTGCGAGCCGATTGCGATTCGACTCGAACCACCCCAGCAGCCGTGTGCGTGTCCTCCTCCTGCTCCTCCTCCTGCTCGTCATTACCTCCTCCTCGTCCCCTCCTCGCCCTCCCGCAGACCTCAGCTTCCTCCTCCTCCTCCTCCTCCTCCTCCTCCTCCCTCTTTCTCTTCCTCCCCTCCTCCTCCTCCTCCTCATCCTCCTCCTCCTCCTCCTCCTGCTCTTCCTTCCCCTTCTCCTCCTCCTCTTCCTCCTCCTCCTCCTCCTCCTCAGCTCCTCCTCCTCGTCATCACCTCCTCCTCCTCGTCAGCCTTCTCCTCCTCATCGCCTCCTCCTCGTCACCTCCTCATCGCCTCCTCCTCGTCACCTCCTCCTCCTCCTCCTCCTCCTCCTGCTGCTCCTCCACCTCCTCCTCCTCCTCCTGTTCCTCCTCCTCCATCTCCTCCTCGTCATCTCCTCCTGCTCCTCCTCCTCCATCTCCTCGTCATCACCTCCTCTCGTCCCCCTCGCGCGCTCCCGTGGCCTGCGGCGCGAATTGCCACGGCCGCGCACGACGGCGCGAGTCCGAGCCGGGGCTCGCCCAGCCGGGGCGTCACTGGTCGGCGGCGGGCGACGTGGGCTCCCTGCGGGATGGTGGCACCAGGATTCCCCCGCTTCGCTCGGGGGCGGCCAAGAGGGGGGCGGCCAAGAGGGGGGGGGGGCGCAAATCGTGGCCGGCGGCACGTGCGCGGCCCAGGGTGCGGGCGGGGGACGTATCGAAATAAGAAGGAGGAGGAGCAGGAGGGGGAGGAGGAGGAGGAGGAGGAGGAGGAGGAGGAGGAGGAGGAGGAGGAGGAGGAGGAGGAGGAGGAAAGAGGCGCCATGAAATCTGGGGAAATATCATGGCCCCCGCCATGAGATTCCCCCTCCTAGTCATCACCCCCCTCTTGGTCGCCCCCGACTCCCTCTCCCACAGGGCGCAGCCCGATGAAGCAAGCATGGGAACGTAAGAGCATGTGATAAGGAACCCCTGGGGAATTCATCCAGGGGCTTGGAGGCCGGTGGGGCTCCAATCGTGGGTGGGTCATGATTGTCATCGCCGCCATCAACAGATAAGGAATCCTCCAGTGTCTGAAGCCTCCTGCGCACATTCCTGAACCAACGACCCCAACCGTATCCTGCGCTCGTCGCGCGCAGCGCGAGGCAGAGAGCGTGTGGAACCCGAGAGGGAGGAGGGCGACGACCACGACGCGACGTCAAGCGTGGCACCAAAGCTCCCCCGCTGTCCCGCTTCGTTCTCCTGCAGGACGCAGCCGAACGAAGCGAGCACGGATGTCCCGACCTCGCCTCGCGCAGCGTGAGGCAGAGAGCGCCAGAAACCTGAGAGGGAGGAAGGAGACGACCACGACCAACGCGTCGGGGAGGGAGAGTGGGCAACATGGCTTCCCCGAGGTGCTCTTCTTGCGCTGCCTGGGGCGACGAGCGCGCCCCTGCCTGGCCGATCCTGGCGCGCTGGAGGGAGGGCGAAGAGAAGGAACGTTAAGGCGGGCATGACCTTCGACAGGGGGATTTCGGATTATTTTTTAGCCAAAAAATATGTCACAGAGAGTAAATCAAAAACAAGCTCCCAGACTATTTGATGACCATGTTTGAACACTCCTCTTGCAGAGGGATGTGCCCGACTTGAAACTGATGGCCACTCCCTTCTAGAAGACAAACCGGGGTACAGCGTGGGCGCGGCCGCCAGAAACCCTCGCAGGAACCCCAACCCTTAGAATCCGCGCGCGAGGTGCAACTGCGCAGACCCATATAGCACTCCGAGCGCAGCAGCGTCTCCAAAGCCGCGGAAGTCACCAGGCAGCGCGCAAAGCGAAGCAACCAGAGTTCCCCTGACAAGAAGCAATTTCTTGATGCGGGGCCCCAATGAATGGTCACTTCCTTCTGTACAAAAGAGATGTGGGGCTCTTGGCCACCAGCGCCCTCGGTATCTCTGGACGAGCAGCGCGCAGGCGTGGCACTCTCTGGAGACACTCCTTGACTAGAGCCCGGCATCCAGGGTGGGCAGGCTGCCAGTGCAGGCACGCACGGTAGTACACGACAGCACCGCATCATGGTTGACACGACTGCCTAGAAGACCTTCGGACGAGCAAGAGGTTATGCGAGGATGATAAACTCCAAGGTATCACAGGGTTACAGGATTCATGTCCAAACGATCCACACGGGCTGCAGAAGCAGGGTCACCAGATGCTTCTTGGCAATCCTGGAATGCATCCTGAACCAATCCTATCATTGCACCATTATGGTCCCAAGCAAGCGGGATGCAAACGCAGCCTCTCCGAGGGCGTTCGGATTCTCCATCGCAAATTCATACTGGAACGCTGCCCGCGTCATGGCGGGCACCCGCTGAGAGGAAGGCCGGGAGAACACTGCCATCAGACAACAATCTTGGCCAAGTGTACCCTCGAATGCCGATCAGTTCTCACGAGTTGCATCATGTGCCTGCGGCCTTGCCATGCAGCAAGGTTCCACGAGATCAGTCAGGGGTGGAAACGCAGACTCTCAGCAACAATGTCTCCGTCTTGCCGACAACATAACGCTGCTCGCCCATCTCCAGTCCTCTGGATCTCCCCCCTGTTCCATATCCTCAGACCGTGTACCGTGTGTTCGCGTCAGCGTGTGCGTGTGCACTGGCAACTTTCAAGACGACGTAGGCGGTGCACCGACGGTCGACACAGGCCAGGTGGGGTAAGCCACGGCGCCTCAGCAGGCGGCCTCAGGCCGGCGGGCCGCAACGGCTCGCCGGGACATCGGGAGCGAACGTTGGATCGGGCCTGCCTTAAGTCGGGCCTGTCCTCCTACGGGGGGACTTTGGGCGACAAATTAACAACAGCCAGCGAAAATACCCCCAAATGGTCAAACACTACTCGAAACATCTCCCCACAACTGTTTCTTGACTACTTTGTAATGTTCCCCCCGTAGATGGACAGGCACGACTTGAGGCCTGCCGGAATCGGAATCCATTCGGATCGATCGGATCGGTTCGCATCGGGCTGCAGCGGCGGGCGCGCTCGCGCCCGGGGGCGGCGGGCGACAGCGGGCGGCCGAACGGGCGGCCACGGCCTGTCCAGCGCCAGGAACCGCCCACGGCGCGGGGCTGGGCGCCTCGGCCAGGCGCCCCCCCCTCGCGACCCTGAGCCGCAATGATGGCCTTGTTTTCCACCACCACCATAAGTGGGATGGGGAGGGGGTCCTCCTCCTCCTCCTCCTCCACCTCCTCCACCTCCCTCCTCCTCCTCCTCCTCCTCCTCCTCCTCCGCCTCCTCCTCCTCCTCCTCCTCCTCCTCCTCCTCCGCCTCCGCCTCCTCCTCCTCCTCCTCCTCCTCCTCCTCTTCCTCCCTTGGGAAACCATCTGGCTTTAGGTCGGGCGCGTCCTCCTACAGGGGGATTTTGGGCGAACAGTGAAGAATATACACCAACATATTCAGAAATACCAAAAGAATCGCCCCCAGACTTTATTATTATTATTGATATTATTGTTATCAT